CTCTCTCTCTCCTAAATCGTCCACTATTCTCTGATAACAACACAATGCCGAGGCGACCTGCGATGGGGTCGACAGCATTGGCTGACACAACTAAACAGCCCGTCTACGCGTGCCACACACCATCCAGCCAACAATACATTTATCCGACTTCCGTAAAAACAGTTCAGATATCGCATGCGTGAGAATGCCACACGGGTCATGCTTAGAAGTAGTCACTACAGCTTGTGGTTGTCGAGTTAGGCTTTAAGATAGCGATCCTCCAAGTTATGATTTTGGAGCGTCGTGATAGACACAAGTGCTCCATGCTTATTCTGAAGATGAGTGTGCTGATGTAACACGAGGATTGGCTACTCATTATCGGCTTCACGTTCTCTTGCCTCTGCCGTGGACTGTCCGAGCTTGTCGACCACGTGATTATGGGAGTGGGCGTGGTGAATAACGCGATTTAAAGACGTGTGTCTAGGGCGTGTCGCCAAATGTCCGTGCGGCAGTCGTTGCGGGCTCTGACTCCAGGTTTGGTTCAGCTCATCTACAGCCATGCCCGTTGTGGGAGCTAAGCACGCGCATGTACACAAATGAGCAGAAAATTTTTCGGTAACCCAGGGGACAAGCTACAAACAAAGAACATATATAATGGCACCAGCGACCGTTCAGACCCACTTGATTAGTGCCAATCTCCTCATTTAGTTTACGAGACCCAAAGCGTGCGGATAAACGTCCCGTGAGGATCAGGATACTGGACACAAGGAAGTTAGTCATAATTTGTCATGTTAGTTGTAACCTGATGAAGAGGTGTACTCTGAAGGAAATTTCATAGGTAAATGCCATAGGTTCTGCGTCCTCATTCCATGAGAAATTAGTTCGCAAGTTCTTCAAAAGGTCTTTTTGGACAAAATATGCTTTCACAAAAAAAATGGAAATTCAAAGACTGCGAAACAAGCGACAAAGAAGTTAATTAAGAGTTTTCAAAACACGCTGTTATTGTTACGTACCTGTCGGTTGATGCGAACGAAGTCCTCCGGACTCTTGGCCCAGGGCGGTAGAAGTACATCGTCCAGTAAGACACCATCGTCAAGTTTACCGAAACGATACTGATTGACATTTTCAAACATTTCGGGAAGGTAGAAGAACTCAGGAATCAGTTCCTTCACATTAGTTGAGCTTTTCATACAGCCCGACCAGGTTGATTCAATGGAATGAAATAGACGATTCGGGTGGTCGAATTTTCCGCCCTGCAGGCAAAATGGGAAGAAATGTTCGAGTGGATGAGTGAATTATAGAGGATAAACAAGAAAGAGGTTTTTATAAGGGAAGGGGAATAAAGGAGTTTGAAAACAAAAGATGGAGAAAAATCATTGCTACAACATTTGCCGCAGGCCAATCAAAAATGGAGGAGAGTAAAAGCAGTCAAACGGGGGAAAATAAAAGGAAGGCAGTGATTTGAGGTCATGCAATCTGATTCAGCATCTTGGTAACTTCGAAATACACGGAGAAGGCGTAGCAAATGCGGTGTTAGGAAATCCGATAGTTCGACCCTTGATTTCGACGATATCCACTGCGAGTTTCAGCAAGTTGAAGCACGCGGCGACTGTGGCTGATTATAGTGAAGGTAAACTCGCCGGGTCTACCCCACTCTCTGACCACCCCCACACC